TGTATAAGGAAAATGGAATGAAATACTAAAGTTTTTTAAAATTTATAGAGCAATTTCAAATAAATCATAATTACAATAAATAATGTAGTTTTCAATAAATAACCAATAAATCATCTAAACTTTTCACTAAATGATCAAAAAGCTCAAAATGGCTAAAATTACTTGTTCAAAAGACTGAAATTTGCCATTTCCATTCCATGCCATAAATCAGAGGAAGTCTCATCTTTAAAGCAATAAAACTCTTTAATCATAGCTCAACAAGGGATGTATTGGATTTAGCAGCATTCAACCTGGCAATTAACATGTAATCTACTCATTCAAAGTAAAAGGCAAAATAGAAAGAAAAAAACTTAAATATATACATAGATAGCTTCAAAATGCATCGTTCATAATTAAAAAGAACACATACATACTGTTTCAATTTTAATGAATATATCCATCTCTCTCTGGGGCTGCCAGTTGGGAGGGCCTAACTCAAAAACACCTTCCTTTCTGAGTTCAGTCAATTAAATAGAAAAATCCATAGATTTAACCCACTAAATTAGCATAGATTCCCACCCAAATCTCTTTCTGTTTCAGAAATTGGCTCCACGTCTCTATGGATCCTTTTATGGGAGGTAAGCATACTGGGTCGGCTGAAGCACTTTCCACAATTCATGCATTTAAATGGCTTGTCTCCTGTGTGTGTCCTTTTATGGGAAATAAGATTACTGTATTCACTAAAGCATCTTCCACATTCCGTACATTTATATGGTTTCTCCCCTGTATGGATCCTTTTATGGGAAGTGAGACTACTGCGTTGACTGAAAACCCTTCCACAATCCATGCATTTAAATGGCTTCTCTCCTGTGTGAGTCCTTTTATGGGAAATAAGATTACTGTGTTCACTGAAGCTCTTTCCACACTCCATGCATTTATATGGCCTCTCTCCTGTATGGATCCTTTTATGGGATGTAAGATTACCAAGTTCACTGAAGCCTTTTCCACATTCCATACATTTATATGGTTTATCCCCTGTGTGAATCCTCTTATGTCTTATAAGGGATGAATTTACATGGAAGCCCTTTCCACACTCCATGCATTTATATGGCTTCTCCCCTCTGTGAATCCATGTATGAGAAGCAAGGTGACTGCTATGAGTAAAAGACTTTCCACATTCCATGCAATTGTAAGGCCTCTCCCCTGTGTGGATCGCTTTATGGGAAGCAAGTTGACTGTTATGAGTAAAAGTCTTTCCACATTCTATGCATTTGTAAGGCCTCTCCCCTGTGTGGATCCTTTTATGGGTTGTAAGATCACTGTGTATTCTGAAGTCCTTTCCACACTCTATGCATTGATATGGTTTCTCACCTGAGTGGATCCTTTTATGGGATGTAAGGTCACTATGTACTCTGAAGCACTTTCCGCACTCGATGCATTTATATGGTTTCTCCCCTGTGTGGATCCTTTTGTGGCAAGTAAGATTACTGTTGCAACTAAACCCC